ATATATATATGTATGTGTGTGGGGTGTGTATGTGCGCGCGCGCGTGCGCATACATACATATATACATATACATGCAGTCCATAACTCCTCTAATGACCGACCTCACTTTTTTTTTATAAGGATCACTTCTTCAAACATAGATACATATACATATATAGATACATACATATATACATATACATACATATATATACATATACATACATAGATACATACATATATACATATACATACATATATATACATACATATATACATATATATATATATATATAAATATGTATGTGTGTGGGGTGTGTGTGTGCGCGCGCGCGCACATACATACATATATACATATGCATGCAGTCCACAACTCCTCTAATGACCGACCTCGCTTTTTTTTTATAAGGATCACTTCTTCAACTTCTTCAACCCCCCCCCCCTGTTTTCTCTCCATTTTTCAACACCCAAGCCATTTTATCTAAATTCCAAGGTGTGTTTAATTGTTCGACACAATCAAAACTAATTTAAAGCTTACATTACCAAAAAATAATACAAATGAATAATAAGAGATTGTAAGAAGAAAGCTTCTCTCTCCATTGGAAGTAGTGTATAGATGCATACATTCATTGATCAAGGGACTAAAAAAAGTAAAAAACTAACTATGTGATGTACAGACACCACAACAGATATCAGTCAAAGCATTTAGATCAACTTAAAACACTTGACAATCAAGAGACATGAGAGGCCTAATAAACATACCGGAATTTTGTATCATTTCAGATAGCAAAACCAAACGATTTTTCTCAGACGTTGAATCTTCAGTAATGGGTTTAATACGAGGCCTTTCAAGCATATATCTGAAATAAAAATTAGTAATACCAAGATATAAATAAAGTCTAACATCTCATTAATCTTATAAAATAATTAATGAAAGTTACCAGTTAAACAAATAATTTACCTAGTTAAGTCAACTTAACCAACAACTACTGATAATTATGGGTGTAAATGAGCATGTCGGCTCTGCTCGTGTTCGACTCATTTATATTTCGAGCTCAGAAAGCGTGTTCATGTTCGACTCGTTTGCTTAGCGAGTCGAACACGAGCCGTTCACAAACAAAGAGTCGTTTTGGCAACCCTAATCACGTAGCCATAAGATGTTAAGGATTAGGGCAAAATTTAAAACATTATTTAAATCTAATTTACTAATTTTTATTTTATTTTCTTAATTAATACTTTTAATTGATTATAAATCTTTGTAGCCATGTAGTCAATTAAACTTTTTAATATATATGGATGATTC